GGGATATCTCCTAGACATACTCTCCTGTGCTCGAATGACTTCCCCTCCAGTCGTTAGCCGCCATCTGGAAAGGGAAGGAGGCACAAACAGTTAGTCTATCCCCCGTCCTATCCCATCTATCGAATCTGGGATATCTCCCAGACGTCCTCTCCTGTGCTTGAATGACTTCCCCCACCAGTCTCCAGCCAACATCTGTAAAGCGGAGGATGACTCAGCAGCCTGTCTGCTCACCCCGTAACCGTCCTCCTGTGCATAGTTAAAGCCAAAGGTCAATCTCAGAGGTGACAGACTATAAAAGGAGGTGATGGGGGTAGGAAGATGAGGACTTTTTTTTCTTGAACTCTTTTAAGATCTCTAACTCTTTTTTGGCTAAAGCTCTACGTAATTCTAAAAGCTAGGCCTTCTTTTAAAAACTCAATAAGAGTAATGAAGACGAGGATCTCAATGATCCTCGGACCTTCCCTCAAACCCCACTCAAGCTCACCAGCTGACTTAACCGTCGGAGGTGTCACGGGGGAACCAGTCCCCGCCCTCTTATGGGTTTCTTCTTGCTTGTGCAGAGGGATCAGGAATTCCAGTCCAAGGATCGGGCATAAAGTCGGAGGAGGAAGCGGCCCCACCTCTCATCCTCTTCCTCTTCTCCGTCAGTACGAAGATCATAAGTGCATCCCTCGGCGGAAAGACCCCATCGGCTGTGTGATACAAGGCATCAACAATGAGCAAATACAGCAACAAAATTAGTTCATCATTCATGGCAGTCAGAGAATTATCAGTAACCATCGACATTGATCGATGACCGAAAACCCTCGCCTTCGACATGAAAGAAAAATATGTAGTTGTATTGGTGCATTGTGAACTATGTGCCATTATCTGTGAAATTTAACATATAGATGTTACATATAAGAGTTGTGTATTAATTTTGTCTGTAAATGTTATGCAATACAGGTTTAATTATACAAATTAGTAGTTATTTAAAGTTATTAATTTTAGAGATGAATCTTTGGATGTCAAAGTGTATAATTTAACTGTTAAGTTTGAACATTGATTGTTAGTATTGGTATTTTATATCCAACTTTACGAATTACCTATTAAGTTTTGTTGATGTATGTTAATTTTAGTGAATGTCTGTTAAGGTAAAGAGCATAACTGTTAGGTTTTATGGTTGGTTGTTATTGTTGGTAATTGTATGTTAAGTTTAAGCCTTAACTATTTAGATTTAATGTTAGTTGTTAATTTAGATAAATGGATATTAAGTTAAACACAGTAACTGACAAGTTTTATTTGTATATGTTAAATATATGTAATTTTTATTAAGTTTATAATATGACTATTAAGTTTGATAAGTGGTTGTTAATACCATTTAGTGGTTGTTAATATTAAGTGATTTTATTTAAATATTGCAGGAAAAACATTGGAGCTATTGCAGAAATAAGACCTACCACTAGCTGAGTGCTTGTTACGGGTTTATAAATGTACTTGAACCAAGAACGAAGTGGTGGCATTGGGATGCATAAACGAATGATGGGAGATTTGACTATGAGGGTTAACTTGATGAAAAAAACAATTATAATTTGTTTATATTTTACGTGACATATTTTTGTGGGTGTTCCATGGTATATGCTACATTTAGTTGACCAATCTATACATTTAGAATTTTAACTATATTTCTGTAGGTGGTTTCTAGTTATAGTGAAGAGGTATATGTTATGGTTAAAAGGTATATGTGATACTTAATGGGAACAATTTATAGTTAATATGTACCTGCTATAGTTAACAATTACATGTCATACTTAACATGAACCGATTATAACTAACATGTATAGTTAACATGTATTTGTGAAGCTTAACATGAACCGGTTATAATTAACAGGTATAGGTTATAGTTAACATGTACTTGTGGTCCTTAACAGGAACCAGTTATAATTGTCCAATAAGATTGACACCTCGTTCAAAAAAATCCTCGCTAATCTCCTCACTTCTTTAAATCTCAACAAAAGTAATTTGTTAGACTCAAGATTCAGAATTTTCCATTAGACTCAAATTCGGATTTTTTCGGTGGAGGATTGTCAAGTGATTGAGGATATTAATGTGCTCATTACAGGAGATATAGTGAAAGTGAACGTTAGAATGCTACTCAACCATCCACTGGTGGCGGAGGAGGGGAGTTAGTTCTAGTTGAGAGAATACCATTTAGACTTGCAGGCATCAATTAGGGAGGTAATATTACTACGGAGCCAAGGATGACTAAGGTTTGATAGCTTTTTGATGGTGGTGGGAGTGTTAGAGGAGGAGGAAAGAATGATGATCGTCATTGTAGCGAAGGAGAATTATGGTTATGGTTTGAGGGCATGAAGTGACGATGGTCTGAGGGAATGAGGGGTTTTATGTAAATGTGAAATTAGTGAGGGGGATTTGGAGAAATGAAAGAGGGGGATAGTTGAGTGAAGATGAGAGATGACGGGAAAAAGAGAGGAGAGATCTGAGGGGGGAGTTGAGTGAGGATGAGAGAGGGAGATGAAGATCAGATTATAGTTGTGGACTCAATTGTAGAGAGATAGGGAGGGAGAGGAGGGGCAAGAGAGAGGGTTGGGTTGGGAGAGGGAAGACAGAGGAGAGATATTGTCATGATTTAGAGAGAGAGGGAGAGGCATTTGAAGACAGAGGAGAAATATGACCATGATTGAGAGAGAGAGAGAGAGAGAGAGAGAGAGAGAGATTGCAGATGGGTATTTTTAGATATTATCTTTTTCTGGTGAGTTTGCAATGTATAAGGCACTGAAACACAAAAGGATAATATATTTAGGGTTTTTAGACAAGATAAATAATACTATGGGCTTGGACACATGAACTTTTGATTTTTGAGGCCTTAACACGGTTTTTTCTTCTTTATTTGGTTAAAAATTTAGAATTTGATTTTATTGTTAGTATATGAAGAAAATTCTTCTGTATTAATATAAGGTACAAAAATGTAATTTGAATAGATGAATTGACTCGCGAATTTTTTTCTTCTGTCGATTATGTTTACCTACCTATTGTCGTCACCAATTTGACTCAAGATTATCCGCTATTTATAAGCATACGTGTTCTAGTTAATTCGTTTGTTTAATGAGGTTATTGCCTGAACAACTACACGAAATTGCATCAAGGAAAAACTTAGACAAATAGTTATCAATTTATTTTATAACCTTTCGGGTTTTCACTGTTTAAACTTTGGAGGATCGGCATAACATGAATAACAAAAAGAAAAGGAAAGGGAATTGCAGGCTACCCGATAGGTGGGTGACCATTTCGTGTTTACTCCCACATCGACTAACGTCACAAAGTTGTGGTTGCTTAAATAAGAGATTTGATGACATCCCGGCACGACCTTACTTGAACAGGATCTGTTCTATAGGCTCGTACAACTGTATCCTTGAGTTCTAAGGAGACAAGTTGTAGAGGATCGTTCTCAGCAATTTGAATTGCTGAGGTGTACCCGAGGTTGTCTGACAGGCCCACACAAGCAACATCTTTTGCTTCTTTTAAGCGGGCTTTTGTTTTGGCTGGGCTGTCTTTGTGCACAGAGGCACATTTAGTTTTAAGCAGGCTTTTTGTTTTGCTCTACATGAATAGAATTGCTGAATTTGTGAAACCTTATGATTGTATGACCACATAGCCCAATATATCTTCTATTGTTTCACCCACTTGTCGCTCATATGCCCAGCTTGTATTTGGTAGTAAAATAATACCCAAAAGTTTTCTAAACTTGCACTTATGTACCCTCAGTTATGCAAACTTGAGGGTATTTAAGTGCGAGTTTTGAAAATTTTAGGGTATATAAGTGCTACAAAAAACAAGTGAGGGTATATAAGTGAAAAGTAGATGGAATAATAGGGTGTATACTTACTATTTAGCCTGATTTATTTCTTTCCATCTCTCTTACAAATTTGAACGTGTAATGTAAATACTCTATACATTCCTAGAGTGTATTACAAGGAGTTTCATGAACGGTACTAGTTATATTACACGTGCGTAATGCACGTGATATAAGAAACAAAACGTACAATAATGTAGTTTGAAAGAAATTAAAACAACTATTTCATAAAAAAAATTAGATTAAGAGATGCGTGCAACTATTATTTAAGATGTTATATTTCACGATTTAACATTAATAGAAGTATTTTCATTCTTTGGATCCATCGCATTTTGCTTTTACGATCTCTAATATTTAAAGGCTTATTTGTACCTTTTATTGAAAATTTCGCTACTTATAAACTTGGTTGTCTGACAGGCGAGGCATTTGGAGAGAGAGAGAGAGAGAGAGAGAGAGCATTTAATGAAATAATAGATGGACACAAATGTGCCTGCATTCAATTTTTTTTTTCAAATTACCAACTTTTCCCACTCAAATCACAAATTCCCCTACAAAGTCAACTTTGCAATAAGAAATTTCTCACCATTTCTTCACTTTTATCTAACCCCACCAATTTTTTTTTTAATAGAGTAGTATAGATAATGTCAATGCTTTGCCATCATTGATACAGGACATTCAAAAAAAAAAAGGAAAAAAAAAGTATAAAAAGGTAGGAATTTTATTTGGACAAATTTTCAAAACAGACTTCTTTGCCAAAAAATTCCCAAAAACCTACCTCTTTTAAATTTAATTTCAAAAACAGACCCAGCTGAGCTGAAACTGGGTCGGTTTTAAAAAAAAAGTTCTCAAACTTCACAGAAATTGAAGCCCCGTGAAGTTTTGTTACGTAAAAAACTTCACGGGACTTCAACTCCCGTGAAGTTTGAGAATTTTTTTTTTCAAAAAATCGACCCAGTTTTAGCCAACTGGGTCGGTTTTTGAAATTAAGTTTGAAACAGGTCTTTTTTTGAGATTAAGATTCAAAACAGGTTGGTTTTGAAAATTTGTCCAATTTTATTTTGAAACCAACAAGACCTGATGCTTGGACTCGTAAATTAACCTAAATTCTTTAAAAGAACAGAAAATGTTGCAGTCTCATGGTCATCAGTGCACAGAACCATACTGCATCAAAACGTGCCAAACACTTTGAGATTCACAAGTTGAAATTAACAGGCATTAGGAACATTCCCATTAGAGACTAACTGCCACAGCCAAAAATAGAGAACGTCGAACTTATCAATTCAGCATATCAAAAAATTATGCCTTTCCCATAGATTTGGTACAAATGTCTTAGCTGTAGGTTTCTTCTGTCTACCTATTGAATAGCGTCCCTTCCTGCTACTAGTTCTCAAGATGTAACGCATAAAGATGCAAGATTCTCCTTTGGATTATGCAATAGGGATCGAGTCTTCTTCAGCATCCACTTCAAGACCTACAAGTATTAATTGGATATATTAGCAAAAAATGTGTATGCTATATCTCAATACCGAGCAAAGAAACCACACTCTTCTAGCAACAATGTAACAGGGATACACTTATCTATAGATGACATGCTCTGCACAATATTACATCGCTATGTGCGAGAATGAGAAATATGAGAATAAAGCATATGAAGTTTTGTTGAACGTTATATTATGGAATTCATGAAGCCGTAAACTAAAAGGGTGATACTAGACTTGTTACCTTCTCCTGCAGGGCACAAAAGTTCACATTTTGCTGTCCAATCTTTATATTACAGATCTAGATAATGCAGGAGATTTTTTTTTTCCTTTTTTTGTGGCGGGTTTGGAGAAGGAGGGAGGGGGGTGGCAGGGGTGCATGGTCAATACAATACTAACTACGACCATTATTTCACTTCTGGAAAAACAGAAAGAGTTTCAACTTTTTCAGCAACTTGAAGTATTGGATGCAAGATATCAAATAGGGCTCACTATGGAACGAGAACAACAAAGCCTTGATAGTAAAACAGTTCACTTATGAATATCAATTCAGTAATGCAATCCCTGTTGTGCTATAAAGAAATCTTGAAGGACAACGAGTAAGGTTGTATAAAAAATTCAGCACTACATCTTTATGAGCGCATAGGAGGACCAAATTAGCATTAGCATTTTATGTCAGAATAATATATGTCAGCAAATATTAGATAATTGTGAATATTTAGTGTATGTAAGTAAATTTGTAGGATAGATTTGCATTTATTTTTAAATTCATGGCTAACAAATTCATATGATGTTTTAATACTACAGAATTGTCCAATGGAGGATGGTCAAATTAGTGATCATGTTATTCCATTTGAAGGGAAGGAGTTTCCAACGGACAACGGTGCATACAACTACTACAATGCATATGCAAAAAAGATTGGGTTTGGAATTCGCAAAGATATTTTTGTAAAATCAAAGAAAGCTTTAGGAGAGATTCTTTCGAGGACTTTTGTTTGCGATAAAGCGGGGAGATAGAGCATCTACTGAAAATGCAAGTTAATTGATTATTGATCATCGTCTAGAAACTAAAGTTTATTGTTATGGTGCAAAAATGAATATTAGGCTCACTTCTTCAAATACTTGGACGGTTACTAAGTTCTTTTCTGAGCATGTTCATCCTTTAACAAGCCCCGATAGAGTAATGCATCATCATTCTCACAAGCAGCGACATCGATCGAAGCCTTGTATTAGCCTCATTGAGTTGGTTGCGTGAAGAGGGAATGAATCCGTCTAATGTTAAAAAGCTGCTTAAAGTTGGATAGCAGGGACAAGATGATGAACAACTCACCACGCAACAGATTATTTACCATATCAGAAAGACAAGGCAAAGTAACATTGCCTGTGAATGCTTAAATATCATTAGACATTTCCAAGACAGAAATGAATCGAATCCAAATTTTTATTTTGCTATGGAGGTCGATCACCTTGGTACTCTGAGAAGCTTGTTTTAGGCGGATGGTAAAGCTAGAGCTTCTTATTTAAGACTTGAAGATATAATGGTGTGTGATACCATATACAAGCCTAATCAATTGAGTATGTCATTTGCTCCATTTATAGGAGTAAACCACCACCGCCAATCCACCCTCTTCGGTTGTGCATTGCTTGTAGACGAGTGAAAGGAAACCTTCGAGTAGTTGTTTTCTCAATGGCTGAAGTGTATGCATGGGGTTGCACCAAAGGCTATCAATGCACAGATGAGAAAATCTATTAAGAACATTTTGCCAAATACTCATCATCGCTTTTGTTCTTGGCATGCTAAAAAGCATATTACTAAGCAACAAGTTAAAGAGCCAATGCAGGGATGAGATGCCTACATATTTCAACAATTGGTATTAATATTATGCTAGAAGTACAAGCAAATGTGATGAGCTTTGGGAAGTCATGAAGGTTAAATTCAACATAAATGAAGATGAATATAGTTGGCTAATAAGAATGCATAGCTTGTATGAATATTGGGTTGATGCATACTTGAAGGATTGTTTTTGGGCGGGAATGACAACAAGCCAAAGGAGTGTGAGTATCAATGCCTTTCTTGTGATGGCTTTGTCAATGCCAACACTAGACTAGTTGAATTCGTGGGTCAATATGACAAAGCAGCGGCATCTCGTCGTGCATTTGAATCTCACAAAGACTTCATGACTTTGAATACCGTGCCTACAATGAGTTTCTCAAATCCGATTGAAGAGCAAGCTGGAAATACATACACTAGGGTGATCTTGAAGATGTTTCAAAAGGAGCTTGATGATGTGATGTCATTGCATTGTGAATAAATGTCGAAGGAGGAGTTAAAAGTTGTATATTTGGCTAGCAAATATTTTGAAAACAAAGAAAATTGGAAAGAAGTAACCTCTGAAATAAATGGTGAGCTTAATGTTGCATGCACTTGTTCATTATGGGAAACGAAAGGGGTGCTTGTAAGCATATTCTAAATATATTATGGCTAAACCAAGTGACTTCTATTCCCGATAAGTATATCTTGCCTAGATAGAAAATTGATGCAAGGTATAGTTATTTTGGCTTTGTTAATACTATGAAGTCGTAACAAAATGAAGATAGCATGGAGCGGGAAAATATTATAAGATTATGGGCTTTACGAAGAAATTTTAATGAAGCACTTAATATGACGACAGGCTCGAAGGATCTTCTTTCTAAATTGGAGCAACAATTAGCAAACTTACTTGCGGAAGCAAAGGAGGAAGTAAGGTGCAAGATGGCACAAACTCTAGATTCTCAAGTTGGAAACCACATAGATTCAAATGCTCATATGATTGTACTTGAAAGATGGTAAGGAAATTATGGTTTGTGATCCCCTCGGCCTCGCGGAACCAAAGGGATGTGTAAAAAATTCAACTAGGATTAAAAGTAGTTTTGAAGAATCTGAACTCAGAAGAGCAAAAAGAGGTGAGACAACGAAAATATGGTCATTGTCAACAATTGGTTCACTATAGAACGTGTTGTCAACTGTTGGTAAGTTCAATTTACTTCATTTGTTTTACATATTTTTCATATATTGTTTATTGTTTTGCTTTTATTGAAATATTACTAATTAATTTCTTTTTGTGTTTCATTTACAGAAGAAGCAAAAGAGATAGTTTGCAAGATAGTTTACAAAAGTATCTTGGAGGTTAAGAGCAACGAGGTGTTAGATGATGTGGTTGTTTATTGACCAATTTGGTTATTTATTGACTAATTTGGATGTTTGGACTTGTTGATGTAAGTGAATTTTGATGATGTATGAACTTATTGATGTTGTTCGGTTTTAAATTGTTGGTAAGTTATGTGGTTTTATTGTTGTAAGGACTTATTGACTAACTGTGGTTGTATTAAAGTATTTGTATGTTGTGATTGTATGGACTAATTGGTTGGATTATATACTATTTTGGTTATTGTGGCCAACACCACTGAAGTATTTGTATGTTGTGGTCGTTTGAAGTAATTGCTTGGAGAAAGTTGTTGTCGAGATACAGTTTTGCACCGCTCTCTAATCAAAGTGTTGTTTGGGGGTTACTATATTTTCCTTTTTAGGTGATGATAGGAAAAAGAAAGGATTGAAATACCAAATTTGTCAAAATGACTTTATTATTAAACATCAAATTTCCAAGTTTGCACAAATATACATCAAATTCACATTGTATTACACGTCAAAAATTCACAAGGTCCCAAACACATACTGAACTCTATGTTCGAGAAGCACCTCAGCTCAACAAGACATAATAACCCCGTAAACCTCAACTAACCAAGTGCATAATGAAATAAATGAGAGAACTTTTCTATAGTGTAGCTACTTATTGCTCAAGTGATATTTTCTACACGAGCGTATTCTGTAGGCTTGCTAGCTTTATAACCTCCTCTTCTCATCAGATTTTTAGATACATTTTAACTGCCAGAAAAAAATTTCCCAAATCGATCAACAATGAGATATAATCATAGAACAAGAACACTCAAACACTCAACGAATACACAAATTGTAGTTCATACCACAAGAATAACAATCCTTACAAAGATAGAAAACATGAACAATTAAAAGAGGAAAATGAATCACAAAATAAACACTGATTCCATATACCCCGAGGATCTAAAATTCATCCAAATTTTAACTCAAACAACTTGCCCAAATTATCCATTATATGATCTACGATCAACATCGTCGTCATCAATAATAAAGAGAATTGTCGGATTCCATTGGAGATGAATTTAAATGAAGGAGGCGAAGATGGGGAAAATAAAAAGGGGGAAGAGAGAGAGCAGGCGAAGGTTAGATGATCTGGCAACGTCGGATTCAATTGTTTGCTCGCTCGAGGCCATGTCGGAAGGAGGCTGCGGCACTGTCAAAAGGCGAGGGTGGCGGCGGATCTGTCAGAAGGAGGCGGCAGCGGCGGGGGGGGGGGAACAATTAAAAGAGGAAAATGAATCACAAAATAAACACTGATTCCATATACCCCGAGGATCTAAAATTCATCCAAATTTTAACTCAAACAACTTGCCCAAATTATCCATTATATGATCTACGATCAACATCGTCGTCATCAATAATAAAGAGAATTGTCGGATTCCATTGGAGATGAATTTAAATGAAGGAGGCGAAGATGGGGAAAATAAAAAGGGGGAAGAGAGAGAGCAGGCGAAGGTTAGATGATCTGGCAACGTCGGATTCAATTGTTTGCTCGCTCGAGGCCATGTCGGAAGGAGGCTGCGGCACTGTCAAAAGGCGAGGGTGGCGGCGGATCTGTCAGAAGGATGGCGAGTTTCGGGTGGGCGAGAGCTGGCAGCGGTGACTCTACAGGTAGCGGCGAGCTTTAGTCGGTGGCAGCGAGCTTTAGTCGGCGGCTGCACTACAAGCGGTGGCGAGCTTTAGGGAGAGTTTTTTTCTTCAGGAAGTGAGAGATTGAGATAGGAGAGAAAGGGTCTGTGAAAGGGTGCACAGAGAGAGACCAATGAGAGAGAGAGAGAA